TACTAAGGGGAGTAGCAAGGTTCCTTTCTTCCTTTCTCCTTTCCGTGTTTGTCCTGATACTGTAAGAAATAAGACACAGTATCTACCTTTAAAGTTACAATCTAATAGATAGACATAAAATACATATAAATACTACAGGTGCTATAATGGATGTACATAAAGAGTACAGTGAGAACACAAAGAAAAAGGATGGTCAATTCTACATAGCAGAATCAAGAAAATCTTTATGGAGGAGGTATGAAGCTATTAGTGCTATCTAGGCAGAACAGAGTTGTGGAAGGTATTCCAAGTAGAAGGAACAACATCAGCAAAAATATAGAGTTATAAAATACCATGGCATATTGTTGTTGTTGTTATGTGCCATCGAGTCGGACGTGACTCATAGTGACCTCTCCTGGTTTCCGAGGCAGTATCACTACGGAAGTAGATTGCCCCACCTTCCTTCCGAGGAGCGGCTGGTGGGTTTGAACCGCAGTGAAGTTCCTTAGGCACTATGCTACCATGGCATATAGTTCAGCAAGAATTTAAGGTATGAAGGTGCCAAAGGGGCAGGGAAGCTGCATCTTCTGACCTCCTGTAATCCTACAAGAGGAAGACAGAATCACCAGCAGTAGCCCAAGGGCTATGCCTGTGAGGCCAGACATGCTGCTTCCCTCCAGCCCTTTCCCCAACCCTGATACTAACCGCTCCTCCCACAGCACCCACCACCTCTCTGCTGGTTTCGATAATTCGCTGCATTGGCCACACAGAACTCAGTGATTATGGGGTTTATTAGGGAAGCACCAGGCTATAATTCAAGTTCAGGAAAAACGCTCAGTCTCCCTCAGTCTCACTGTCTCTCAACCAACAGTCTCTCTCCTAGCAGTGCATGTCTGTCAGTGTCTCTCAGCAATGCATGTCTCTCGGTGTCTCTTTCTCAGCAGCACGTGTCTCTCAGGAGCATGTTTCTCTCAGCAGCACGTCTTTCACAGCCAGAGTCAGAGAGACTTTTTCTGCCTTTAGGAGGAATCCTTTTGAGCCTGGCAGAGTGGCCAAACTAACCAAACATAACATCAGAATTCTAAGCACCTGAGAGAGCGTGCGAACTTCCCAGAACATTACTTTGTGCCGTTCTCAACAGAAATACCCCAGGTGGATAACTTTAACAATCAGGAGCTCCTCAGTTGCTCACAGCAAATTCCACCAAGGGGTTTACAAAGACTTATGGCTAGAAAAGCCATACCAGGTAATTTGCTACTAAAATCCACAGAAGGGATTTTAGCACAAGGAGCCTGGAAAAGCAGGCAGAAGCCAGGGGTAGTACTGCATAGGTTAAGAGCACAGAAGTTCTATACTTTAAGCTGCCTGAATTCTAAAATTTCAGTTTTGCCTCTTTTCTAGCAGTGTGACCTTGAACAAATAACTTAATTTCTCTAAACCTAATTTTCCTGATCAATAAAATGGGGATATTAATGGAACCTACAGTATAAGGTCACTGAAGAAGGATTCAATGAGATAATCCATGTAAAGGACTTTGTATAGTGTATCTGACTTGTAGTAAGCACTCAATAGACTACTAATATCATTATCATTGTGCGGTGTAGTAAATTACATAGTATGGCTTTTCTAGCCATAGTCTTTGTAAACTCTGTGGGGGAATTTGCTGTGAGCAACTGAGTAACTCCTGATTGCTAAAGTTATCCACCTGGGGTATTTCTACTGTGAGCGGCATGAAGCAATCTTCTGGGAAGTTCTCTCTCTCTCAGGTGTATAGAATTCTGATGTTGGGATTGGTTGGTATGGCCACTCCGCCAGGCTCAAAAGGAGCCCTCCTAGAGGGAGAAGGAGTCTCTCTGACTGCTGGCTGAGAAAGATATGCTGCTGAGATAAACACACTCCTGAGAGACACACACTTGCTGAGAGAGATGCGAACACACACTGTTAAGAGAGAGAGTGTTGGCTGCTAAGAGAGATGGCTGGCTGCAAGAGACTGAGTGCATTTCTGAACTTGAATTATAGCCTGTTGCTTCCCTAATAAACCCCATAATCTGTGAGTTCTGTGTGGCCACTGCAGCGAATTATCAACCCCAGCAGAGAGGTGATGGGTACTGTGGGAGGTACAGTTAGTGTCAGGGTTGGGGAAAGGGCTTGGAGGGAGGTAGCACGTCTGGCCTCACAAGAATAAGCCTTGGGCTACTGATGGTGATTCTGTCTTCCTCTTTTGGGGTTAGAGGAGGTCAGAAGATGCAGCTTCCCTGCCCCTTTGGCACAGTGTTACTACAAAAAAATTCATTAGGAAACTATTATAGTGGTCAGAGAAAGCAAAGATGAAGCCCTGGACTAGAGTGAGAAAATGGGATGGAGAAGAAAAGACAGATGCAAGGAACTTCATGCGGTGAAAGTGACTGGACTTGGTAACAAAAGAGACATTACAAGAAGGACTAAATCAAGTATGATTCTAAATTCTTAACTTGGACAGCTGGGCACATAAGTGAAATTTTGAACAATTTGGGATATGTTCAACATCTGATGTACCAGAGTAACATCCACATGTACTGTCAAGCAGACTTTCAGAAACACAGGTCTTTAGCTTAGGAAAGAATACAGGGAAAAGACTCTACCATTGCCTCCTTATCTGGATCTTGTAGTTTGAAAACTGCGCTCACCTATAGTCCATATGAAAGGAACAGCCTAAGATGCTATGTCTGACTTACGTGGCCATCTTACACCCTGGCCATAGCTTACTGAACTATAGATGGGCAGATGACTCATGGAGAAGATGAAAACTCCAGCCAATAGGTTTTCTGTGTTTGTGTCTTTAGAATCATGAAGCCTCAGGGCTTTATGTTATCATTTTGGGGACAGCCATGATGGTGCACACATAAGTAATGGAAGAATTTTAGACATATTAATACAGGAAACATGTAGAAAGAAAAAAAAATTAAAGACTGCAAGGTTTTCCTCATAAAATCGAGAGAGTAGCTGTTTGATACTGTTGAGTTTTCATACAGCCCAACTCATCTAGACATCAGATACTATGAGACCACCCTGCTTCCTCTCTTCTTATGTACCTTTGCCATTTCATTCACCCAAACAATCCTTGTGACTAAAACAGATGAGTCTACCCAAGGAGAAAAGAGAGAACAAAACAAGAAAAGAGTCATCAGGACCCTGGGGAACAACAATATGAAAGAGTCACACAGAGGAAGAAAAGTCAGTGAAAGAGGCAGAAAAAGGCATTCATAGAGGAAAGAAGTAATTCAAGAGAAAACTGTCCCAGAATGAAAGTAAGAGTGTGTTTTTAAGCTTGCAAGCGGCCATCTAAGATGCAATTATTAGTCTCTCTCCACTGAAGCAAAGGAGAGAAGAAAGTCAAAAGACTAATGGACCACACAAACCCTAGCCCTCATGACCTGAGCCCAGGAGAATTAGATGGGGCCCAACTACCACAGCCAACCACTCTGAAAGGCATCACAATAGACGGTCTTGAATAGAGTGGGTGAAAAATATGAAACAAAACTCAAAATCTTAAGAAACACCAGACTGACTGGTTGGAAAGGGACTGGTGGAATTCCTGAGAGACTATGACCCTTAGACCCTTTCAAGTTTGGGAATGAACTCACTCTCACGGCTCAACTTTCTGGAAATGTTCTGAATCTTCATCTGCATTATAGATTGTGTCCCAAAAAAATATGTGTTGTAAATCCTAACTCTTATAACTGTAAATGTAATCTTATTTGGGTGTAGAGTTTCTTTATTATGTTAATAAAGCCATATCAGTGTAAGATATGTCTTAAACCAAATATTTTTGAGATATAAAAGAGCAGATTAGGCACAGAAGAAGGCAGACACAGGCAGAAGACCTATACTATTTGAAGATGATGAGGCAGACCAGTCTACAAGCCCAGGTACTCCAAGGACAGCTGGCTAGAGAAGCTGAGACAAGAATTTTCCCCCAGAACCAACAGAGAGGGAGAGAGAAGCTTTCCCTTAGAGCCAAGGCCCTGGATTTGGACTACTAGCCTCCTAAACTGTGAGAAAATGAATTTCTGTTTATTAAAGCTACCCACTTGTGGAATTTCTGTTACAGTATCACTAAGAAACTAAGACAAATCTACAAGTTGTATATACAGGTGTATAAACAACAAAAAAAAAAAAAACAAACCCACTGCATCAAATTGATTCTGACTCATAACAAACTTATAGGAGACAGAATTGCCTTACAGGATTTCCAATGCTGTCATATTTATAGAAGCACACTGTCACATCTTTGTCCCACCCACAGAGTGGCTGGTGGGTTCAAACTGTTGACCTTCTAGTTAGCAACTGAGTTCTTAACCACTGAGACATCAGGGCTCCTTGACAGGTATACATACATGTGAAAATTCATCAAACTGTACATTTAGGATTTGTGCGCTTAAAAGAGTAAGAAAAAAATCCCCCCTGTTCTACTACTTCAAAGTAAATAATAAAAATAAGGAGGCTTATAATTTGTAAAGCTAAGATTGAAGTGTTCTTTGAATCCAAGAAATTACCCCATGGTATAGTCAACCTGACCCTTCTGAGGTAATGGTAGGTATTACTGCCCATACCAGGAAACTGATCAGTAAAAAGTTTCCATGCTGTTAGGACTATGCTATGGGGAAAAAAAAAAAAAAAAAAAAAAACCAACCCACTGCCATCAAGTTGATTCCAAGCTCAAGTGACCATACAGGGCAGAGTAGAACTGCACCCACAGGATTTCCAAAGCTGTACATCTTTATATAAGCAAACTGCCTCATCTCTCTCCCACAGAACAGCTGATGAGTTCAAACCAACTAACTTTTGGTTAGCGGCTGAATGTTTTTTAACCATAGTGCCATCAGGGCTCCTAACTACGTTAGTTTAAAAAAAAAAAGTCATATGTATCTTCTGTAGACTTGAGCACATGGCAAGCAATCTGAACTGAGAGAAGACAGAATGATAAATCCAGATTAAGAGCAACAAAAGGTACTAGAGCAGCATATATAAAGGAGTCCTACCTTCATCAGGTGCTTGTTGACCCACTTGGTGAATGTTTTCTTCTGAACCCGGTCCCGTTCATCTGTAAAGGAAACACAGAGAAGGCATTGCTTTATGCTACTCAGGCAAAAAGTTCCCAGACCTCTGACTTGCATATATTCCACCTTCTCCAGGGTACCTTAAAAGGTTTGGCATTCCCCATAGAACAGTAAGCCAGTACCTCTAATCATTAGGGAGTTTTGACCTACCTGAATTTCCCTAACAGTAGCCACTTTACAAATTAGACAGAATCACATGCCCCAAAATCACGTCATGGCAAAGACTTTTTACCATTATAATTCTCTGGGGAGCAGAGTGACACACCCTGCCTCTAGAGGAACACACACGAAACTCCAAAAAGGCACATTTGTGAATATCCCAGAAGAAGAGGTAGGGTGACCTTTTGTCATCACCTTTCCCTAGGTATAAAGGCATCTGGGTATACCTTGGGACTATCTCTCAAGGTATAAAGGCATTTTGCATGCCCGTACTGCAGTGGTTAATCTTACTCTTTATGTACCAATCTACTTGATCAATGCTCTATTCCCTTTCCCACCCACTACTTCCCTCATTCCTATTTCCTCACCAGCCATTACCATCCAGGCAAACTCCCAGAGTTATCTAGTTTACCCTCAGTGCACATCTCTTACTTCCCTTCCTTCTCCTAAGTCTTACAGAGCCCTCATTTCTTTGCGGGCAGACTCCCCTTCATTCCAATTTTTTTTCTACCTCTTCACTTTAAGAGAAATATGACTTAATACTGGACAATGACTGTTCCACAGGGCCTTATTCTGCAGGGGACTCACCTTCTCTCACTCCTGTCAATTCCCAAAAGCCATTTCCAAACCACTGATCCACTTCTCTTCCTATTTATTTGAAGCCCATGCCATCCCCTATACCATGATGAGGTTCAAATAACCCTATCATCAACCCTGCTGCCCACCCTGCTCCACATGACAAATCTACCTTAACCTTCCCTGACAACTTGGTTCATATTTATGATCTCCACATGTATCTTCCATCAGTGTCCTCATTATTACTCAAACATACATGTTGACATTGTATCTGGTATGCTGAACTCAAACTGCAATGCCCTGATTGGCCACTGGCCTTCATTCTCAATTCAAACGCAGCAACCAAGGTACCACATTCTTATTTCCTCTCCAAAAACAACCTATTTACCAGACACCTTTTTCAGTCTCCAGAGCTCTGGTGGTATGGTGCTTAAAGCATTCAGCTGCTAACCAAAAGGTTGGCAGTTTGAATCCACCAGGTGCTCCATGGGGAAAAGATGAAGCACTCTGCTTCTGTAAAGATTTATAGCCTTGGAAACCCTACGAGTAGTTCTACAGGGTACTTAGATTTGGAATTGACTCAATGGCATTGGGTTTGTTTGTTTGTTTTTTGGCTTACTACAAACAAAAGAATTTAGAAATTAGAATTGACCTTAGCAGTTATCTAAATCCAATTCCTGCTAATTCATGAATCCCTTCAACAACAAAAAATCATAGATTCAGGACTGAAACATCTAGTCAATCTTGCATACATCTATAATATCCTTACCACTTAAATACTTAATAGAGAATTCACTACCTCATAAAGCAACATATACCAATTTAAAAGTTCTATAAAGTGTCTGGTAAGGTCTACCTACTGGCTTTCATTTGGGACCATTAGAGTTATTTTAAAAATAATAACAGTAACAAAAGCCTAAAATATCTTTTACTTAATTGAGTCCTGCAACTATTTGAGGCCAGGATTCTTATATTTTTATATTTTCTAGATGCTGGTCCAGTTTTCCAACATCATCATCCTTTCCAAGCCCATGTCACCTGCAGCCTGCACCTCTAAATCAGTTTGCCAATAATAGTCTCTAAATCACTGACACTCCGCTCATATTATTTAATTTCCCTTCATGGTGTGCTACTCTCTTCCTCTCCACCTATGCAAATGATCATTCTTTACAATCTAGCTCATTCATTCCCTCAGTTATTCTTTGCGTAAATCTATATTAAAGACCTGGAGCTCTGGTGGTATAGTGGTTAAGACACTGGGCTGCTAATCAAAAGGTCAGTGGTTCAAACCCACCAGCTGTTCTGCAGAAGAAAAATGGGGCAGTCTGCTTCCATAAAGATTTACAACCTTGGAAATTTAAATTAAAAAAAAAAATTACTATATATTAAGGATCTAACGTCTAGGAAAAGTCTGTATCTGACTCTGGCAATACAGATATCAAAGTCACAGTCCCTGCCTTTAAAAGAAATCATAGTCTAGAAGAAAAGACAAATAACTTCAATGCACTTTGACGAGTATTGTAACAAAGGTAAGCACAGTATGCTCAAAAAAATAATAGTAATAGTACACTTCGTTTTTACCCCACTTTGCTTTCTTGCCCTTCACAGATACTACATTTTTTACAAATTGAAGGTTTGTGGCACCCCTGTGTCAAGCAAATCTATTGGTACCATTTGTCTAACAGCATGTGCACACCTTGTGTCTCTGTGTCATATTTTTGTAATTCTCAGACTATTTCAAACTTTTTCATAATGCTATTGCATACTTAATAGACAACAGTATAGCATAAACTTTACAAGATAGTATAATTTTATAAACACTGGGAAGCCAGAAATTTCACATGACTTGCTTTATTGCAATATTTGCTTTATTGTGGTGGTCTGGAACTGAATCCTCAATGAGGTATGCCTGTAGTAGGTCTGCCTGAGTAAGGGAAGAAAACATCAGAGGTTATGAAAGTTTCCTAAAAGAGTGACTCTAACTAAATCTTAAAAGATTAGTAGAATGGTGGCATTGAAGAAGAGGAAGACAGAGAGAGATACATGGGAGGTACAGACAACAAAGATGAACCCTTTTGCACATACAGTACTGCGTTGTCAGTGAAGGCAAACATGGGTATACGGGTGGATAGATGGGTGGACAGGCTGAACTATTAGGGATGTCTATGCAGCAGGGAGTATACCCAAGACCATGTATAGGGCTGGCAGACAATGGTCCTGTAAGTGTATTTTTATGATCTGAATTCCCAAGTGTATAGTAGAGCTGACAAGGGACAAGATTGTAATCACTTCCTGGTCACAGCCAGCTACCCAGAGGGAGCAAGTAGTTGAACCTGTGGGCTCAGGACCACAGTCACAGGGGACATCAAGTTCAATTGGCATAAAATACGACACAAAACATTGTTCCACCTCTTACTTTGGCAAGTGACTGGGATCTTAAAAGCATGCAAGCAGCCATGATGCAACAATGGGTCTCTCCTCATCCAGAGCAAAGAAGAATGAAGAAAACCAAAGATACATGGAAACAATTAGCCCTAGTGACTGGTATATCATGCGATCCACAGCCTATACAACTATGAGACCAGAAGAACTAGATGGTGCCCGGCTACCACTGTCAACCATTCGGAGGGGGATCTATATAGGAGATCCTGGATAGAGAGGGAGAGCAATGTGGACCAAAACTCAAAAGCATTTGGGAAAAAAAAGGGGGGGGGCAGGTTTGCTAGTCTGATAGAGCCTGGTGGAACCACTGAGACTATGGCCCCTAGCTGCCCTTCAGGTCTGGAATTGAACCCATACCTGTGGCTTCCAGCCAAACAAAAGACAGACATATGAGTTGAACATGTACCTGAGGTAGATACACTCCTTGGAGTGAACAATCATGGGAGAAAGAATGACTGCTTATGCACAGGGGGACAGCTCAGGGGGCAGGAGTGCATGGAGTGATGGACACAGGGAAGAGGTAACTATCAGAAGGAAGTGGGAGGGGAGTTGTTGCATTGTGGTAAATTGTAGTCAATGTCATGAGACAAAGTGTATGTGAACTGCTGTATGGAAAGTGAATTTGCTCTGTAAATTTTCACCCAAATCACAATAAAAAAAAAAAAGAAATATGAAATTCAAGCCCAAATGTGTCAGACTCTAAATCCTGGACTTTTAACCACTATATACTACTGTCTCCCATGAAATTATTAGAAAGCAACACCATACTGTCCTGTATCATCAAGTGGGAAAAGAAGAGGTGCAAACTATAACAGGGATTCATGAAAGGTGGCTATCACCAAGGACTGGTGCAGACTCAGAAAGCTTCAGTGAGAACTGAGACATAAGGCTTTGGGGAAGTTGTAACACTAGATATCAATGCAAAATTAAAAATTTATCTTATTTCTTAAGAAAATCTGATCTTTATCAATGATAATCCTTTGTACTATTGGGAATTAGAGAACATAGAACAGAAGTTAGATAAAGAAATAAGCCAGGAGTAAGTAATAGTGGCAAAAGAAAAGAGCCACAGAGTTGGTCAGAGAGGCTTAAAAGAAGGGAAGAGGAAGAAAAGTTTAATAGTGTCTAGAGTGTCAATGGATTACCACATTCAGAAAAGCGAAATATTTCATAGATACAGAGTGAAACCTGTCTCTGCAAAGATCATCTTAAAAATGAAGAAATCAAAGCCAAGAGAGATTAGGCTAGAGGTCACACAGTTGGGGACAGAACCACGTCTATAACTTGGATTTCTTGATCTCCAATCTACGGTTCTTAGCTTTATATGACACTTATCTCCTCTCTTTAAGTAGAGTTTCATCCACATAATGAGGAGCTTGGGCTAGGTCAATAGTTTCCAAAGATCAGGCTGTGAAATGACCATATCAAAATAACCTGAGGAACCTTTTTAAAAGTACAAATTCAAGTGGACTGACTAAGAGCATTCATTATCTGTATTCTCAAAGGGCATCTCTGCTAGAAAACCCAACTGCTTCATATTTGGCCTCCACTCTCACAGTAGATCAATAGGCCATGCTGCTAGTACAGTTAGGCTAGGCTTGTAATAGAGAGTGTCACCTCTCCAGCAACCAAACACTCCAATCAAAGAAACTGTACACTCAAAGGAATCTTTACTCCAGCAAATCAGGTGTGTATTATGTGTCTGGACTCATATAAGGAGAATGAACAAAGATAAGCATATTGTATAAATTTTGCATTGTATTACTACTAACCAAAAACCAAACTCACTGCCGTCAAGTCAGATCCA